GGACCATACGCCAAATACAAATAAACCCGGGAGCAACAGAGACTAGCCCTGAACACCAACCACTCTAGCATCTCCTGGCCTGATTGATGGCCAGAATACAGGCCATACAAATAGTATAAAGAGTGAGTGAGAAGGAGGGTGTGATGGTGGGGGCCCGTGATTCCAGCACGAGGATGAGGTGGGAGAATCATGAGTCTGAGCCAGCCTAGGCTACATAGCCAGACCCTGTCTCCAAAAAACCGAGTTAATGAATGAGAAGAGGGAGAAAAAGGAGAGAGCAAAGGAGGCATGGGGGAGGGAAGAAGAGAGAGAGAGGGGGGAGAGAGGGAGGAAAGGAGGAAAGGAGAGAGAGAGAGAGTGAGAGAGAGAGAGAGAGAGAGAGAGTCCTGTATACAGGACCTTGGGAATAAAGTGGTGGCAGGGTAGGGAGAAGAGGGAGGGTGCTGAAGAAGGTGTTTTGCTGGAGAGTCTTCTAGAACCAGAGGATGAGATGGCTGCTTATCTTTTCTTCATCCTAACATCAAGGGGTATCATACTGCGGATCCATGGGAAGCTGTTGAAGCGAGTTAAGCAAGGCTCTGAAGCTCACAGGAAGGCATTGCACAGAGAGGATCCAGGGCTGCAGTGTAAACAGCCTCAGGCTCAAAGCACCTGGTGCCAACCCTACCTCAGCCACACAGCCACCACTGGGCCTCTGGCAAGTGACTCAGTCAGGCTATTTCCACATCAGTGAAACAAAAGAGGCTGATGTTGGCCCGGGGTGGAACATGCTGTGGTCTGTGGAGATCCACAGTAACACACCCAGAACCGGAAAGAGGGACCACCACCAGGGTTGCTCAAGAGATGGGGGAATCTCACTGGAAGCGGGACAGAGATGAGCTCCCCCAGGCTCCACCTCTGAGAGATGAAGGCCAGGCAGACATACTGACCTCCCCTCTAACTGCCCCTTTACCATGTCTGAGATGTCACCCTCAATGGTTGTTCTCTGGGGTTTCTGCTGCCAAGAAAGGAAGGTTAACACCCTCTGGAGTTGAAAAATGTTGGAAAGCTGGCCAGGGAGGAGTTCTGTGGGCCAGAGTGTAAATGAACTGTCATCTGGTGTCCCAGGGCCCCAGCTTTGAAGAAACTGTAAGAAGCATGACCTCCAGTGTCCTAGTACCTCTCTCTTTAGAATGACTCTGGTTAATCTATCTGTATAACCCAGTGAGCTCAAGGGAGGCCTCGGTTTACACATGAGGATATAGTTGATCACGCAGGTACAGTGTTCTGAGGTCTCGACTATCTAGGGGACCGTTGGGAAGACACCACAGTACTGAGCCAGGGAGGTAAAAAAAAGGGGGGGGGTAGGACAGCACCTACTGGCTGGGCTTTGTTCTTTATTTGCCAATGTGCTGTGCTGAGGGTGGTCTCCACACCTGTGAAACACAGCCATGGTCACCCTCCGTGCTGGCCATCTGACTGCCTTGCCTTCATTTCCGGAGCCAGCTGCAGCACTCTTGACTTTTTCTTTCTTAGGGAGAAGTCCTTCTAGCTGGCTCACCACCCACAAATCAGGAGTCAGAAGATGCTGGAGACAGCTGGGGAGGCCTCCCCCCACAAGACTGAAAACAAAGCACCCCCAACAAGCTGTACGTGAGCATTCAGAGCAGAAGTATTCACAAAAGCCAAACATGGAGACAACAGAAAGAATTATCCTTGGATATGGATATGGATAAAACACGGGATAGCCTTACAGTGGAATATTACTCAGAAACTAAAAGGACCAGAGTCCTGGTTCTCCCTACATCAAGGCTGGGAAGGAGCCTAGATGCCCCTCAACCGAAGAATGGATAGAGAAAATGTGGTACATTTACACAATGGAGTACTACTCAGCAGAAAAAAACAATGGAACCTTGAAATTTGCAGGAAAATGGATGGAACTCAAAGAAACCATTCTGAGCGAGGTAACCCAATCACAAAAAGACAAACATGATATGTATTCACTCATATGTGGATTTTAGACATAGAGTAAGGGATTACCATCCTACAATCCACACTGCCAGAGAAGCTAGTAAACAAGGAAGACCCTAAAAGAGACAAACTTTGTCCCCTGGAGAAGGGGAAAGGGTCACCATCCCCTGAGCAAATTGAGAACATGGGAAGAGGGGGGAGGAAGCTACGAGAGTGAGAAGGGAAGAAAAGGAAGGATGCAGAGGTCATGAGGAAGCAGAAATTTTGAGTCAGGTGTAGATTAGAAG